ACTGTCCACAGCCACCGTCTCAGTGCTGGGCTTATGGCCAGGACATCTGGCTCCAAACTCTTGCACTTGTTCTGCCTGGGGGAGGGGCCCAGGCAGTGGCCCCAGACCAGCCATGAAGCGCAGCATCTGCATGTGCAGCCCCCGTTCAGCCAGAAGCCCCTCTGTGTGCCCTGAAGCCAACACTGCTGCTAGCCGGCTGCACCTCACCAGAAAGGGCACCCTCAGGGACCCAGGGAGGATAAACAAGCTCAGATTGGCCCTCGGGAGCTGAGCCATCCTGGGCATCCTGCCCCCACCCTCTCAGCTGCCTGCCAGGGATGCCCATGGGGCCTGGGACACAAATTCTCCCTTCCTTTGGAGCTCTGTCTCCCCTTCTATCCCATGTGCCTGGACTTTGGGAGCCCAGAGCCTTCACTGGGTCCTGATGCCAACCCAGAAAGACCCACCACTCCATCCCTGCCCTGGGAGTCCCTTCATTCCAACCTCCCTTCCCAGAAAGGCTCTGCAGCGGGTCCTGCTTTGTCCCTTTGTCCCAGGATCTCACCCTGTGGGAAAGAAGGCTGAGCCACCGCTACAGGAAGAGGTGAAACCCAGAAACCCGGAATGCCCAGCTCAGGACAGAGCCACCTGCTGCAGACACTGCCCCTGCCTCTGCCAAGGTCTGGTACAGATCCTCCCAACACACATGGTGGGTTTTTATTAAACTTCCTTGTTAATTGCACAAGTAACACACAAACACATCTGGAGTGAGTTTTAAAACAAACCCCAGACACCATATCGTTTCACTCATAAATACTTGAGTATACAAATGGGGCTTTAAATAATTTGCTGTTTAAATGATGTTGGTTTCTCCTATGATCAACAGAGCACATGCTCACAGAGCAGGAGTGGGGACTTCACCCTGCTCAGTGGTACCTGACTCCTGTCCTCCACCTGGTCCTTCTCTGGCCCGTCTCTGAGCCCAGGCTGGGCTGGTGCATGCGTTTTCCACCCAGCTGAGCTCACTTTGCGATATGATTTGGCACCTTCTCCCTCTTCGTTACTTTACAGCATTAGCAATTCCCCAGAGCTGTCACCAGCTCAAGAAACATCTATCCCAAAGGCCTCCTTGGGCACCCGGGTTAGGGGCAATTTTTCACGGTTGTAAACACTGCGCTGAACATCTTTGTGTGGGAGGCACTGTATGGTTTTTGGATCATTCTCTGAGGATGGTTCCCAGCCTCTAGGTCCCACCATCAAAGCTTCCATCCTAAATTGCTTTACAAGAAGACACAACATTGTTGAAATCCTCATAAATCATGGTGGGAGCAAGCTGTAAAGAGAGGTCACTGGAGCAGGGGCCCCTCTTGCCCTGGGCTGTGGCAGTGTGTGGGAAGGTGGTCTCGCAGGCCACCTCATTGTCTTGCCAGCAGGCTCCCACCCTTAGTTTCCCAAACTGGAGTGGACACAGGTGTGTGTGCTGTTTACCCCCAAAGACGGCTGTCAGCCTTGCCTGTCACCGCACAGCTCTTCCCGCCTCCTCTTCCCGCCCCTGTGTGGAGGCTGCCCTCACTCCAGAGGGAAGGAGCCTCCAGCAGTGGCCATCCACTTTAGCGTGGCCACATCTGCTCTGCAGGAATTGAGGAGGGGGCCTCTAGAGAGGACCATCCATCTCTGGGCATGGATTAAGGTCTGTTTGTTTTCATTCTCCCCTGTCTCCTGGGCCCCAGCTTGCCCCCAGGAGAGAAAGGCAGCTTTGCAAATCCAAGCAGGAAAGCAGAAGCCTCAGAACAGGGGGGACCCCAGACTGCATCTCTCCCCACCTGCTCCTTTCCTGGAGCCAGAGAGAGGATGCAACTTGGAGGACACTGCATGTCTGTGGCAAGGCTCAGGTGCACACTGTGCCCTTGCAAATCAGCCTCCCTGCCGGCCCCTGCGAAGTCACCAACTGTGTGAATCCTTGTCCTCACCCAGGCAGGGGCTCACAGCATCCGTTTCAGATGAGGAAATTGAGACCCAGCACACCCAGATTCGTTCAAGGGACCCCACCAACCAGAGCCTCTCTTAACCAGCCCCCGCTGGCTGTCGGGGGTCCCTTGCCCGGGTGAAAACGCAGAGTCCCGTTTGTGATGACGCCCTGTTTGCCCGGGAGCCTCAGCCAGATGGAATAAAATCAAGGTAGGTGAGAAAGCCAAGCCCGGCGCAGGTACTGGGGGAAAGGAGCGGCAGATGGGACCCCCAGGGGATTGCAGGCTGGCGGGGTAGGGACGCAGGCGACTCCACCCTGCTCCCCCCCCCCCCCCCGTGCCGCCAGCAGCCCTCTCCCGCCTGCTCAGCGCAAGCGAACGAGACCGCCCAGCGGCGACTCGGGGAGGTTGGCGGCGGGGCCACCCGGGTGGGGGGGCGCCCCCAAATCAGACGCAGCCTCACCCACGGGCGCCCCTGCGGGCAGCCGAGGGAGGAGGACCCCCTAGACTCCGCCCCTGAGGACCGAGCCCGCCCGTGACTCCGCCCCCTGGGCCCCGCCTGCCCTGACTCCGCCCCCCGGGCCCCGCCCGCCCGAGACACCAAAGACACCGCCCTTTCCCCACCTTCTTCTGTGGCTCCTCTCCCAAAAGACCCTTCCCCAGAGACCCAGACCCGGCACACACAGTCCCTTCTTATCTCTTGCTGACCCCGCCCCTCCCCTGCGGACTCCGCCCCCCCCGAGACTCCGCCCCTGAGGACCACACCAAAGAATGACGGCTCACCGCGACCCTGCCCACTGCACGCCTGCTGGTCGCGGCCACTATGGACCCCCGCTCACCACTGACCCTGCCCACTATGGTCTACCACTAAGACCTCGCCTCCTGCCCACCATTTCCCCTACCCCATGGGTTCAGCTGAAGGTCGGGACAGAACCGAGACAGGCTCTCACATCCTAAGTACTTGTGCGAATTTGGTCCCATTTTAGAGACAGAAAACTAAGGCCCAGAGCAGTTAGATACCTTGCCCTGTGCGGTGGGGGCTGAGGCAGCGTTTGACCCCTGGCCACCTGGAGTGGGAGTGGGCCCTGCTGTGTGCGTGGGGGAGTTGGGTTTGCAGAACAGGTTGCGTGTGAGTGGCTGTGAGCACCACTCTGGACCAAGGAGGGATGTAGAGACAGGGATGGAGACCCCCCAGCTTCAGGTCAGAAACAGACTGCCCTGCCTATGGGACCCCTGCTCCTGGGTGTGGGAGGAGGGACCCTGGGGTACCTGGAAGTAGAATTAGGAGGCCCGGCCACCCACCGCCAACGTTCTCCCTGAGAAAGAGGGAGGGACTGGAAACCCCTCAAGGTGAGCTCCATGCCCCACCTACTTTGTGGCTGTCCCACTCCTCCCAGGGAGAGAGCAGCGGCCAGATCAGAGAGGGAAGAAGGAAAGACAGATGATAGGAGGGAAAGACAGAAACCCGGAAACAAATAGGCAGATTCCCAAGAGAACTGTGGAGGATGGGGAGAAGAGAAGGGGAAGCCCCGAGAGGTATTGGGGAGACTTCTGAGTTTCCCCCTGGCTTTCCAGTCTGTCTAAACCTGCCATGGCCAGCAGTGACCACAGTGTGGCCCAGGCAGAGCCAGAAGGCCCAGGCCTCCCTCTTGGCCCGGATGTGGGTGTCTGAGCCGGGATATGGATATGTCTGTCCCACATAGACCTAAGGTACAGGGCAGGGAAGAGACTCTAGACCATCTTGGGGTCCAGCACAGCTAAGCCAGCCATTGCCAGCCTGCCCCCAAGGACAGAATCATAGCAAGGATCTTAGAGGTAATTTTGGCCTCTGCTTGAATGCTTCTACTGATGAGGAGCTCACCACCACCCCACCCCACCCTGCCCCAAGCCAGCTTACTTTGTCTCTGGGCATCTCAATGACTTAGAAAGTACATTCTTATTTTGAGCTGTATCCCTCTCCCTATCACACCACCTCCCACCCCACCCCCACCCCCCAGTTCCCCACATTGACCTCTGGAACCACGCACACCACAGATACTGACTTTTGACGAATGTTTATTGAACACCTACTATGCACTAGAGACTGAGTAGATACTGATGCCACAGTCTTGAACCAGGCCGAGTGCAGCTGTTTCCCCAGAACGTGGCATTACTGAGGGAGTTTTAGGTAGGAGTTCAGGGATGCCAAGATGGCATAGGCTGGGTACAAGTAAAATGTCTCTGGGGGACAAGACACAGAGATTAGTCATCATGTCCCTGTTTACAAAAAGTCCCATTATCATGACAACTCCCACCACTGAGGACCGATGGCCCATGATAACTCATACCACAGGATCAGTATTCTAGACTAACCAGGGGGTAAAGTGGACATTATTCTAATCAGGTGCCATCAGGTAACCAACAGGAGCAAATGGGGTAATGTCTTCAATCAGGTCCGTGTAGGGACAGCTCAGCAGGTAAGACAGGAATTTCCAGACGTCGGGGCCTTGATCTTCCTGCTCGCCCACCCCACCTTACAGAGGGCTCCTTTCACCTTCACCTTCAATAAATCTGCATGTCTTGTTCAAGGCACCAAGGACCTGGACCCCCAACCGGACACCCCAATGATAGCAGGAGGAGGCCATGCCAGCATCACCTCAGCCTGGCCTGGCCAGGCCATGCCAGAAGCACCTCAGGCTTCTCATGACAACATTAGGGGTAGTTAGGACCCTCAGTTTAAAGAGGAAGACATTGAGGCTCAGAGGACCAAGCACCAGACCGACTGCAATAAGCCCCGCCCTGCCTTGGCCACACAATCTGGTTAGGGATGATCATGTGACCTATTTCAAACCAATGACAGTCATGCATGCAAGCAAGGCAGACCTCTTTTTTCCTCTGGACTCAGTTCTGGCCTGGAGCCATAATAGCCATGGAGTGGGGCAGGGGTGGGGGAAACTGAGAAAGATGCCAACATAGCCATCAGAACTGGGAAACTGCGCAATGGTTTCATTAATGAGGTTCTAGGCATAAAGTTAGTTAGAAGAGATCGAAATAAGACACACAGACACAGTTACCTTATTTCTATTGCCAGGTCCGAGACGGCTCCCCTCTCTGGCTCCAACCTCTAACCGCCCAGCAGGGCAGCAAGGATTACTCAGGGCTAGCAGGAGAGAGAGAGAGTGAACACGCCAGGGAGTAGCCTTTTATTGGGGAACAAGAAATTCAGGGGATAATTCCATCCAATGAAGGTTGAGGGGGGACTGCACTCCAAGGTCAGGGTCAGTGATTGGGCCCCCGGGGTCAGTGGTCAGTCACACCCCCACATGGACGGGCTCTCTCATCAGGAAAGGGCCGGGAAAATTCCGACACAGCCAGAAGCCTCAGACCCTTAACGGGAGTCGCCCAGTCACGTGTCAGGATGGCTTCCCACATATTCCCCCTTTTTATTCTTAAAAATGAGGCGGCGGTTCACTCTTTGGAGTTTCTGTATTCTTGTTCCGAAGACTCGCCATCCTATAATTATAACACAAAAGAGAATTAACAGCAAAGAGAATAATCCAATAATGTACCAGGCCGAGTGTTTAAGAATATTTCCAGGGTTGAATCCATTTAACTCCTTCAATATTTGGTTTGCCAGAGAAGAAGGATCAGAAAAATCAGCTCTATTATTTTGAATGTCTTGGATATGGTGATGAAGTTCCAGAATATCCAAGCTATTATTACTATTTTGCCAAATACCTAATAAATGGTTTTTAACCTTCTCCCAATCCCAGAGAGAAGCATTGTACTTGGCAGCTGTAACACAAACATACTTATAATTGGCATGGCATTTAAGCCTTTCCTTAAATTTTAAGGCTGAAAGTTCATTACCTATGTCTATAACAGTCGCCTCTAAGGCGTTTAATTTAGTCTCAATCCTTTCATCAATATTTACTTGATTACGCAGAGCCTTGGAAGTATTTTGAGCTAAATTATTAAGAAATTTCGCATGCTGAATATTTTGAGACAATGTCAGAGATGCAGAGACAGTTGAGGCAATAAAGGAGACTAGTGCCAAAACACCAACAATTATAACTCCAATAGCACGTTTTGGTCTTGCTAACTGGGCATGAATTTGCTGCAAGACTTGTAAACCAGTATCAGCATACCATGGCTCTGAAATATTAGCAGGTAATAAAACAAAAGAGGGCTGATGAAGTATCAGCACTCCTTTTCCTCCATTATACCTAGTAATACAATTGGTTAGGTTGCATTTATTACAAGTAACAATATATCTGTCATCTATCCATTTAACTTTTACATTTCCAGTAATTAAAACATAAGGAGATTGGACACAGGCTCGTAAGCCATAGCAAGATCCCTCTTTACAGTTCTTGCCAACAAATTTTGGTAAAGGTTTTTCTGTAAAATGTAAGAATTCTGAGGCAGCAATTAAACGCCAAACATCTTTCTGAACACCTCCTTTACTATAAGTCAAAATATTAATAACAAATCCTGCAGGTGTCATAGCAGAATTTCTTCGTAATTGTCTTTTATCAATTTTTGGAGACCAGTCTAAAATATACCCACTATCTTTAGACACCTTATGTTGTACAGGAAAGGTATTTACACAATCCATCCATCTAGGAAAGGTGCCAATCTCAATTGTAGAACTATTTGGACAGTGGGGCATCCGTGGAGGTTTTGCAGAAATGACTGGCTTGTTATGGGAAAGTCCCATCTTAATTACTGATCTAGTATAAGGTCTTAAGTCCCCATAAAAAGAATTATTTGTCAGTCTAGGTCTACCAATCGCTGTCTTTTCTTCGAATGATACTTTCAGACAGCCAGCATGTTTATCGTGTGACCAACACAAAGGTAATTGGGCACTGTAGCCAGAATAATTAAATCTAGTCACATGATTGGGAGTAATATGGGTATCTGTAAATCCTCCCATCATGAATGAGTCATTAGTAAATACTGGAATAGATTCTCCAGTCCACACAGCTGGGTGTACCAGGGGTGGATCTGGGAAATATGTCCAGTAAGTGTCTACTTGATCCCCCTTTACCTGACAGCCCAACAGGGCAATTACTGTTGCTACCATCATCACTGGGGTCCTGTTCTCTCCTAGGTGTCGAAGTATTCGGGAAGCCTGGGTTGTTAGCTTCTTCAAGTCTTCCCATGAAATCAGCTTTTCGGCTGGGTCAATCTGGTCTTTCTTCATCCTTTTCCGATATCTCCTCCTTCTGGATAGGGGCTCCTCCTGGTCAATCCTCAGTCGCTTGAATCTGGGTTCCATCTCTTCCATGTCTGATAGCACGTTCAGGTACCCAAATAGGACGAAATGCGCCTTCTGGGAAAATACAAGCATGACCTCTACCCCACATTATCACTGGGTCTGGACCCTTCCACTGACCAGTCTGTAAATCTTTCCACAAAATTCTGCCTAAAGGGCCTGTTACTGAGGGAGACATTTGTCTCTCAGCAGCAGTGTGACCTTCTGCGTCACAGTTTAAAAAATTTAAAACGAACAAGGCATGATTAAGGCTATTTTGGGGAGTCATAAACCTATTCCCCCCCTTTAATTTTTGTAATTGAAGCTTAATAGATAAATGAGCTCGTTCCACAATGGCTTGGCCTTGAGGGTTATAAGGAATTCCTGTTTTATGATTAATTTTAAACTCTTGGCAAAATTGTTGAAAAGAAGAGCTTACATAAGCTGGAGCATTATCTGTTTTAATCTGCATAGGGCACCCTAAAACAGAAAAAGCTGCTAAGCAATGAGAAATTACATGTTGAGTATTTTCCTTAGTACGTGCTGTGGCAAAAATAAATCTAGAATAAGTGTCCACTATGACATGCACATAACATTGCTTACCAAATTGAGGAATATGAGTTACATCCATTTGCCATATTTGATTTGGTTTTAATCCACGGGGATTTACCCCTGATGGCAGAGATGGAGTGTGAATAACACACTTAGGGCATTGGCTTACAATCTGACGAGCTTGTTCTCTAGTAATATTAAATTTTTTACGTAAGCTAGAAGCATTTTGATGATGCAAGGAATGGGAAGCTAGTGCACAGTCATATGAAGACATCTGTTGACAAAAAGCTACTAATTTATCAATCTTGTCATTACCAGAAACTAAGGGTCCTGGAAGATTAGTATGAGCCCGTATGTGCCCTATGAAACATGGGTACTTTCGCAGTAGCACTGTCTTTTGTAAATTATGAAATAACTCAAATAACTCTTGTGATGAAGTATACCCAATAACTGAAGTTTCAATATTTTTAGTAACTCCGACTGCATATAAGCTGTCAGAATAAATATTAATAGGCTCATTTGAAAAGTAATTTAAGGCACAAATCAGAGCTTGAAGCTCTGCTCTTTGGGCAGAAGTATAAGAAGTTTGTATTACCTCTGTGTGAACACGACTATAAAAACCTGCTTTACCTGAGTTAGAACCATCCGTGAACACTGATAAAGCTTCATCTATAGGATGTGCACGTACAATCTTTGGAAAAATAAGTGACGTTAATGATGCAAATTGTATAATCTTATCACGAGGATAATGGCTATCTATCTGGCCAGGAAAATCAGCAAAAGCTATCTGCCATGAGCTAGAAGTTTGAAAAAGCCAATTAGTCTGTTGAATAGAAAATGGAATAATTATGATATCAGGCTCAGATCCAATTAATTGTAAAATCCTAGTTCTACCTTTAATTACTAATTGAGCTATAGAATCATGAAAAGGAATTAATGTCTTCTGAGGAGAGTGGGATAAATAAATCCACTCAATAACTCCTAATCTTTGCCATATGGCTCCTGTTGGGGTATGTTCAGTTGGAAATATTAATAAATACACTATTTCTTTAGGATCAACTCTAGTAAGCTGTGCATTTTTAATTGCATGTTCAACTCTCCTTAAAGCCATTCTAGCCTCTAAGGTTAGCTGACGTGGAGAGGTTGGAGAGGGATTTCCTTGTAATATCTGAAATAGGGGACTTAAATTAGAAGTAGTTAGTTTTAGGGATGGCCTCAGCCAATTTATATCTCCTAAAAGCCTTTGAAAATCATTAAGGGTTTGTACGGAAACTGCTTGTTTCGCTCCGGTAAAATTAAAGATGGCGGCCCCCATGGTCGGCGCGATGACGTCACATTGCGCGACCACCTACTTCCTCATTTTCGGCCCGGGGGCGGGCCGACCGAAAGTTTGTGTTCCGGCCAGGCGGAAATGATGACAAGAAGGCGGGCTCATCCGCGCCATCTTGATCCGCCGCATGGGGCTGAGCCCTGCAATATCTATTATCGCCAGTAGATGGAGCCCTGAACTTAAAATTGCGCATGCGACAATCCCGCGCAAAATGATTATTTCTCCCGCAAATGTAACATTTTCCGCGGGGTTTTCGTACTAAATCTGGGGTTTTCAAGGTTTCTTTTATTGCTGCAGCTAGGGCCACTGTTTGTAAATGAGTAGAGTCTATGTCAGAACATAAGCGAATAAACTCAGAAACTGTCCCTTTTTTACGGTGTGGTCTAAGAATATCCTGACAGTATTTATTTGCGTTTTCGAATGCCAATTGCCTAACAATGAACTCACTCGCTCCCGAGTCCCCGATTGACCTGTTTGCAGCCTGGTACAACCGGGCTACGAAATCTGAGTAAGGTTCACTCGCACCTTGCCTGATTTTGGTAAGAACTAAATTGGACTGGTCCTTGGAGACAATCTGCCTCCAGGCACGTTTGGCACAATCAGTTATTTGATTGTACACTACAAAATCATAATTTAACTGTCTTTCTAGGTCAGTAAATTCACCTGTCCCTAGAAACATTTCTACTGGCGTTTCTATATCCTGTCTTTTGTTCTTTTCTGCCTGTTCAGTACAGAAATCAGTCCAGTAAGTCCTCCAAAGTAAGAAATCTCCCCCGCTCAGACAAGATCTGGCTAAAGAAATCCAATCGCTAGGAGGAAGGGGTTGTGAGCAAATATTTTCTATCAAGCTCTGTACAAAAGGCGAATTTGGACCATATGTCTCACATGCACTTTTTAGTTCCTTAATGGTTTTAAATGGGATTACAGCATGAACTCTAACTCTCTGATCTTGTTCATTAACTTGCTCAAAAACTGGAAAAAGTTGAAAACCGCTAGTATCCTCCCCATCTTCCTGTGCTTTCTTAATACCTCGCTGGAACGGGGTAAGAAAAGTCATTGTTAACCCAGCGTACCTGTTAATTTTTGTCCTTTTAGCAGGTACCTGCCGAATTCGAATAGCCTGGACAGGCGGTGTTAAACGCAGCCTGTTAAGATTCCTCTGTAAGTCCTGAATTTCCATGTCTGATTCTTCTCCCTCAGATTGCAAATCATGGTCAGACTCTGTACTATCGTCATTTTGAGTTTGGGTTTCTAAACCACGTGGCGGAGAAGAACTCTGAGCCCCTCCAGGAATCTCTTCCGGATTTTCCTCTGTGGGAAGATCCTCTACCTCTTCTGGAGGGCTTTCTAAGATCTCGGAGGTTTGTCCTCTATGATCTCCGTCCCTAGAATCTCCCTGCGGGCTAGTATAGTCCTGCGAGTTTAAAGTCACATTCCTAACCTTAGGTTTGGCTTTTAGCGTTGTCTTTGTTTTTAAACGGCCTAAGGGAAAAGGAATTAACTTAGCCTCAGGCGAATTTTCCATTTGAATAGACTTAATAGCCCTTTGCAAGCCTTTTAACAGGTCTTCAGGGGGCCACGAACTTTGACCCATATATTCAACGAGACAAATTTCTAGAGCTGTCCAAGTTTTCTGAATACTTTCTATGCCTCCAGGTAGTTCATTAGAAAAATAAACCTTTTGTAACTTTCTTCCTAATTTCTCCCAAGTAGATAAATTTGGAGACTCTTGTTCACAAAACCAAGGACAATATTCACCTACAATCTTTAAGAATTGTAATAACTGAGCTTTCTTTATCTGTTTTCCTTTCTGATTAATTATACTGTCTAAAATAGTCAGATACATTTCCTTATCCGTAGAAGTTGAATTTCCCATTTTAATTAATTTAACGTCTCTTTCCTTCAATAGCTCCAGGTACTTTTGTGACCCAAATTGTCACCTCTTCCTTTATCTTTATCTTTATCCTTATCTTTATAGCGCGCTCCCACTCAATCTAACTAATCTAGAATGCCCCCCTCGTGGGCGCCAATTCTACCACGCGTCCTGCGCAATGGTTTCATTAATGAGGTTCTAGGCATAAAGTTAGTTAGAAGAGATCGAAATAAAACACACAGACACAGTTACCTTATTTCTATTGCCAGGTCCGAGACGGCTCCCCTCTCTGGCTCCAACCTCTAACCGCCCAGCAGGGCAGCAAGGATTACTCAGGGCTAGCAGGAGAGAGAGAGAGTGAACACGCCAGGGAGTAGCCTTTTATTGGGGAACAAGAAATTCAGGGGATAATTCCATCCAATGAAGGTTGAGGGGGGACTGCACTCCAAGGTCAGGGTCAGTGATTGGGCCCCCGGGGTCAGTGGTCAGTCACACCCCCACATGGACGGGCTCTCTCATCAGGAAAGGGCCGGGAAAATTCCGACACAGCCAGAAGCCTCAGACCCTTAACGGGAGTCGCCCAGTCACGTGTCAGGATGGCTTCCCACAGGGGAAACTGAGAAAGATGCCAACATAGCCATCAGAACTGGGAGATGACAGGAGACTTGATGGCATCTTGTGAATTCCTGGATCCAGCTGTTCCTGAAGCTAGAACTCCTTGAATTTTAACGTGAGATAACACTTCCTTTTCTTTGAGAAGCCTGTTTGAATTTTCAGCAACCTAAATGACTCTGCATTCCAAGGATTTTACTGTCCACAAGAAGATTTTATTGTCTATGAGAAGCATTCCTAGCTGGGCACAGTGGTGCATGCCCTTAATCTCAGCAGTTCATGAGGCTGAGACAGGAGGATCGTGAGCTCAAAGCCAGCCTCAGCAGCGACAAGGCGCTAAGCAACTCAGTGAGACCCTGTCTCTAAATAAAATACAAAATAGGGCTGGGGATGTGGCTCAGTGGTTGAGTGTCCCTGAGTTCAATCCCTAGTACCAAAAAAAAAAAAAAAGAAGAAGAAGAAGAAGCATTCCTAAACATGGATGTGTATGTATGTGTGCATGGGGAAATGGGAGGATGGGAAGGGAGAGAAGGGGCCACGTGCTGTTCCATTAATCTTTGCAGCTGCCCTACAAAATGGATTGTGTCACTATCCTGTACATTAGTCAGGATAAATAATTAGGTGCTGTGAAATAAGCCCCATCAAATGTCAGTAAGTAAACAAAGCAGAAGTTCACCTTGCAGGAGCAAGGAGACGCGCTCTTGGTGGCTACATCACTTCTGCCCACATTTCACTGGCCACAACACAGCTGTTTC